TGAGCAATAGAGGGCCTGGACAGTGCGTCAGCCACCTCATTGCGTGACCCACGGATGTGGCGGATATCTGAGATGAACTGAGAAATATAGTCCAACTGGCGAATTTCCCGCGGATTCAACTTGCCTGATTGTGACTTCAAGACAATAGGAAGTGGCTTGTGGTCAGAGAAAACAGTGAGTTCTCTGCCCTCGAGCGCGTGCCGGTAGTCTTTCACGGCTAGGTAGACAGCAAGGAGCTCCCATCCATATGTGCTGTAACGCGATTCGGTAGGTTTTAACTTCTTATAGAAGAAAGCTGGAGAACGGTGCCGACTACAACATTGGAAGCATCAACCATAGTGATATGAGAGCATCGGGGAAAGGGTACATCAAGAGGACGACATCGGCTAGGGCAACCTTAACCTTGTCGAAAGCTGCGAGGGCGTCTGCAGACAGCGCGAACGAACCTTTGGGACCCGAAAGGAGGTTTGTGAGAGGCAAAATAGTGTCAGCACAGTTCGGAAGAAACCGGCGGAAAAAATTCACCATGTCCAAAAATCGCTGAAGCTGACGCTTTGAAGAAGGAGGTGGAAAATCTCTAATGGCCACAACCTTAGAAGGGAAAGGATGGATGCCGTTGGTATCGACGAGGCGTCCAAGAAACTCGAGAGAGGGAACGCCAAAGACACACTTGGACGGGTTAAGGACAACGCCAATTTTTTGAGGGCGGTCAAACACCGTTGCAAGATGCTCCATGTGGTCTTCGGTGGTAGAGCTGGCAACCAAAAGATCGTCAATAAAAAGTTTAGACGAAAGGCATGGTACCAACAAAGGTTAACCGTTTTCGGGCGATAGCGGGAGCTATGGCGGTCGCGACTGGTCGAACAAGTCCGGTCGCGGCTGCCGGAACGCCGGGATTGACGAGGAGAGTTGCGCAGTTACATAGTGGCGATAGTCGCTACCATTTGAGCTACCTGTGCCTTGAGGTCAGATAAATCCGAGCCGAGGACAGCAACAGGCTGTGATACGTGAGCCATAGACACGGAGGAGGAACGTTCAACCTCCGTCATCTTATCAGCCATGGTAGCGAGTTTCGCAACATCGCAATCGTCTGACCCAGTAGCCAGAACAGTTTGAATAGAGGAAGGCAGGCGCTCTAGGAACATCTCTTTAAAATTTTTTCTCTAATCGGGTCGTGGACCCGTGGAATAACC